TGCTGTATTCCACATGTTTTAGTATGTTGCTCTATTTTCCCTTGATTCAATGAATTTTAGGTTTCTGAGTCTTTAATTATCCACTGTGTTTTTCAGTCTCTTGAGTTCATACAATTTCTGTTTCTCTTGCTTTTTGTTACTTGTTTCACTTTTTTGTGATATGAAAAGATGCAAGAAATTATTTCAATTTGTGGCCTAACACATGGTCTATTTTGGAAATTTTTCCATGGGTTGAGGAAAAGTATGTGTATTATATTGCTGTTAGATGGAAAATTCTGGAGATGCCTGTTAATTTCCTTTGATCTATCTTGTAATTTTATGTGCCTTTGTTGATTTTTTTTTGGTGGGGGTCTGGTGAGAATCTGTTGGTGAGAGTATTATTGTATTGGGGCCTATCTCTCCCCTTGTACCTGGTAATGTTTGTTTTACAAAATTGTGTGCTCCAACATTTAGCGTTTATTATTATTATACATTTTTGATGAACTTTTCCCTTGATCAATATTTTAAAGCCCATTTTCTCAGATGTAAGTATAATTATTACTACCACCGTCATTTACTTGTAATATAATTTCCCTCCTTTTACTTTAAATCTATGTTTGTCTTTGCAGGTGAGGTAAATTACTTGTAGGTAACATATTGTTGGATCCTGCTTCTTAATTTACCCAGCCCGATTGTGTCTTCCACTAAAGAAATTAAGATCATTTACATTCAGGGTTATTCTTGTTGCCAACTTATTGCTTTTCTTAAGGTTGTTTTGAATATTCTGTGTTCATTTATTTTTTCACTTATTCATCTCAGAAGATGGATGGTTGAATGTACTGATAATATTTGATTCTTTCCTATTTTTCATTTGTGTGTCTAGTCTTCTAGTAGAATTTGTTCTTTCATATGCTGTCATAATTGTGCCCTTCTTTCTTCCTCTTCTGGGTGTAGAAGTTTCTTAAATATCTTTTTATCTGCTAGTGTTCATGAATTCCTTTATTTATGTTCTTCTGGAAAGATCTTTTTTTCTTTCAGGGTTTTTTTTTTTCCTTCAAAAACTTTAAATACATACCTTTAGAGTTTTTGCCTCAAAATCTGATTTTAGTCTAATGTCTGCCTTTAAAGACAACTTGATGCTTCTCCCCTGAAAATTTTGTTGTTCTTTTCTGGTCCTGCACTTTTGGCACTTTAACTACAGTATCCACAGAAAGATACTTTTCTTTTCATGAGCACTTGGGTTTCTAAATGCCTCCTGTACTTTAATGTCCTTGTCTTTCCCAAGATTTGTGAAACTTTCTGCCAGTATTTCATTGAGTAGGTTTTCTTTGCTATCATTCTTCAACTCTTCTTTCTTGTCTATTCGGATTACGTATATTTTGGTCTTTTAATGATATCCCAGAGAATATGTATGCTCTGTTTATTCTTTCTTATTTTTTTCTTTACCACCATCTGGATATGATATTTCATTAGACATGTCTTCAAGTTTTGATATTCTTCCTTCAATTCACTCTAGTCTATTTGTGAGGCTTTCAACTGAGTTTTATTTTTAATTTGAATAATTAAACTTTACATTTCCAAGATTTCTGTGACTCTTTTTTATAGTCTTTCATTTTATTAAAAATTTCATTCACATCCTGAATTATGTTACTTGATTCATTCAGTTGTCTATCTGTATTCTCTTGGAATACATTGAACTTTTTTTAAAAGTTTTTTAGAACTTTATTTTATGTATAAAGAACGATCATGTTCTCTTTCATTGGGAAATCCATTCAAGGAAGACCACTTAGTCCAATTTAATGAAGTCTGAATCTTTCGCATACTGACAGAAACACTGCCAGCACATATTGAGGCTGTATTTCCAGATCAGACCGGCGGGTTCGAGCATCCGCAACAAGAGAGAGCTCCCTAGCTGAATTTTCACTGGTGGCTCCAATAGAGCTGTTGGTAACCCATCTTGCATTCAAGGGTGCAAAGGTACATTGAACTTAAAAAAAAATCATTGCTTTTAATTCTTTATCAAGAATTTCAGTCACTTTCATACTTACTGTGGTAATTCTGAACTTTAGGTGATGACATATTCCCTTGTTTTCTCGTTTTTTTTTAAAGCTTGGGTACTGTTTGTTGTTGTTTTGTTGAGTATCTTCAGTTAAATTTCATACTAGATTCCCTAGTTTAATATCCCTGTAGCTTCTTTGTGATTTTTGTTTGTTTGTTTGTTTGTTGTTTTATAGTTCAGAATATATTTCATTGAGGTTGCAGAGATGTCTCTGCATCTCTTGAAGGAATGGGAACCCTCTGGTTCTTCAGGAGATACGGTGTTGGCAGCAAAGTATATTGGTTGTACCCTCTGTGATTACTCCTATTATGGGTAGCCCCTATCATGGGTTAGAAGTTTACATAGGTCCTGCTTACAATAGCTCTAGTTCTTGAAAGTGATTCTGATACTGGTTCAGTTGCATTGAAGGGTCCAGAATTCTTGTCCTATGACTGGAGACTTTTATAGATCTAGTTGCTTTATGGGAGAAGCAAGTGCTAGAAATCTATCTCCCCCTCTGGGGGACTCACCTTCAGACTTATCAGCTCTAGGCAATCTGATCTGGTGCAGATGCAACCAATGTAGAGTATCCACATCCATCAGTGTCATACACCACTTTGTTTTCCCTTTATGCTGCTGCTGTGGAGGTAGCTTCCATCTATGTATACCCATCTGGGGCAGGTTGACCACTAGAAGCTCATGTATCCCATTTTCTTTAAATAGAATTGTCCTTTAGGGTTTCAGTGGGACTGATTTTGGCTGAAGCAGGGTTTAATTCTTCTCATCTGATCTGTGAGGAAGCTCAAAGGCAGAACACCTACCCAGTGGCATGAAGCCATAGACTCAATACCTAGCACTGGAAACACACACACATACAATTTAAAAATAAAAATGTATAAGAAAGAGAATGAAGAGGGAAAATAATAGAAATCAAAAGTAAAAGAAAAAAAGGAAAGTGGGAAAGAAAAGAAAAATCCAACTAAAGAATGAAAAATAAGATAAAATAAAACTGAGAAATAAAAAAGCAATCATAACAAAAGATAGAATAGTCAGAGGGAAAAGCAAGTAAAAAAAAATTCTTCTAATGGAGGTACTTTGAATACCTTTCTCTGGGTCTCCTAAGAGTGTAATCTGCTAGGTATGAAGGTGGGTAATGAGTTGTAGCTGCAGCTCATTTTCCTTCCACTCTGGTCTTGCCAAACTAGCTGAGGCAGAATGAGGGCTGTATCCTGAAATTACATGTTAAGATAATGTTGACTTAGCCCAGGGTATTTTCTCTCCAGACGCTTTTAGTCTGTGCACCTGGGGCATGGCTGAGGTCCAAGCTGCTGTGAGCCCATATCACTGACCGAGTTTTGATGAATATGAAACCCACTGTATATATATTTGCTCTGGGTGATTTTAGTCTGTGCATGCACCCAGAGGCATGGCCAATTTCATGATTATAGCAAAACCTTTTTCACCAATTGAGATGTGGTAGAATGTGACTGCACTGGGTGGGCATATATTAGCCCTGAAGGATTTTAGTAAGTGCACCTGGGGGCGTGGCAAATGAACAAGACATGGCCAATCCCCAGATGTCTCCAAGGATTGCAAGGGCAATTGAGCCCCACCAAGTTCTGTGTTTGGGGGAGGCTGTGTTTGAGTGATTTGCCAGCCCTGATTGTGGCACTTTCAGACTTGTCCCCTGCTTGAAGCAACACCATTGCTGAACAGCTATGCCCTCCTCTCCACTCCCCTTTCCCTTGCAGCCTGTGCTCCCTTATAAAATAAAGCTCTCAGTGAATTTGTGTCAAGGAATCTCCCCCAAGCTATAACTGTCCTGTATGCCTCTCATCTACCCAAAGTGGCCATGTGTTAAAGTGGTTCCTGAGATGTGATTATGCTGTTTTACGATCCCCAAAGCAGTTTAGTCCTTAACAGCAGAAACTTCCTTAAGATGATTCCTGGCTATAGCACTCTGAGAGAAGCAATTTCTTCTTTAAAGATTGTTTGTTGTGTAGACTTCATGTCGCCAATTTATTTATTTGTAGGGTGCAGTGTTCTGGGCTATATTTTTTCTCTTTCACCTTTGCCCCCATTAAGGGAAGAGTCCCCTTTCCCCAACCTAGAAATGTTAGGTTTTTTATTTGTTCTTTCTTTACCCACCTGATTTATTCTTCCCCATTCTTCATTTTTATGTCATTTATTTCTCCATTGTTATATCTTTTTGAACATTCTGAAGTTGTTTACTATTTTCTGGTCATTATTAGACCTTCTATGACATAACTTTTATCTGATGGTTTTGAATTTTTTGGTATTAATTTTCTCTTGCTATATTCCAATTTAATTGCTATATATTTGTAGCAGAGGGATTGCATCAATGTATGCATTTACTGTGCTATCCTCATGGATAATTTTCTAACTGTATTTCTCTTTCTTCATTTCCTTCTTTTTTTCTCCTCTTTCTGTGTTTTCCTTTATCTAATTGTTATGTTTAAATGGAAAACCATATCTTATGGTGGCTATTCTGGAGTCCCACTTTCATTGTCAATATTGAATCAATTTATAAATACAATGGTAGCTTGGTGAAATTTTTGTTCACAAATCTCTGTTTGAGATCTCCTGTCACTTTAGTCATGCCTCTTGAAATAATACATAAACACAGAGAGTAGCTAATAATAGTTTTCAATAGGACAGCTTCCCACTTTAGTTTGGCATGAGTTAAGTTTCTGTTATATCTTAAGTGCTATTAGTGTATAGAAGTAAAATATTACCATATTGTTCAAGAGCTCGTTACATCCATGCTTTAACTCTATCACAAGTTTGTATTTTTCATAAGGTTCAGGTTTGTTAAGGTATTTATCATAACTTTAACTTTTTCTCTTTTAATTTAAAACTATTCTTGATGTATGTTAGAACAGGTGGGAATTTATCAATGTGTGAATTTTCTATGATATCAGCTGACTATTTTTTAATGGTATTTTTCTCCTCCTCTTTTTAGGTGTTATATTAATTCCAGGATGTGCACTTGGCCAGCTTCTGGGAGGTATCATTGTGTCCAAGTTACAAATGTCTTGTAAAGCCCTTATGAGATTTATCATCATTACATCTCTTTTGTCAATTATATTTCTTGTACTTATAATTTTTGTACACTGCCATCCAGTCCAATTTGCTGGAATCAACGAAGATTATGACGGGTAAATACAATTTTGTATAGTATATTTTTAAATAAGAAACCATAAGCCTATTTCTCAGGCAATTAATTTTACATCCAGTAATGCTTACATGTTTATATCACTCTTATAATTCTTAGGTATGTAAAAGAATTATAAGTCACAGTTTTAATTTTCATTTTAAGGTCACAAATATTATGAGATCTGGTGATGAGTGCTCATTTAGTTATAAATTAATAGAGAAAATTCACATTGAAATCACAGAACATAAAAGTAAAATTTTGTGTTAGGATTGATAACAATTAGGGGATGGTACTAACTTCTTTACATGGTAATTTTACCTTGAGTTCTTGAATTGGATTGTCTGCCTTCTTATGGATATCAGAGAATGTATGCAAAGAGAGTATCTCTTTTAAGCCAAATATGCACAAATTCAAAGAACTTGGCATAGGTTGATATTAATATTAGGATACAAAAACCAGAATTGAAAAGCAAAGGATTGGGAAAATAAATAAGCAAGGAAAATAAAACATCTACTTCAAGCTATAACAAGAGTAGCTAAGGACAGACCAATGCTCAACAAATATTACCAGTGCTATTGGATAGTCACAGGTCATAAAGCATGACTTAAGCTTCACTCATTATACAAGTTTCTGAATCATAGATTAATGTGTATCATATATTTCAATGAAAAACTATTAAACTTTTAGAAACAAAGTAGAAAATTCCTAGAATGTAGAACTAGGTGAAATGTTGTTAGACATAACCATAAGAGTATGATCCATAAAATAAAAAAAATAACAAATTAGACTTTATCAAAATGAAATAGTTTTGCTGTGCAGAGGCTGCATGCTAACAAGGTGAGAAGATATGCTATAGAGTGAAGACAGTATTTGAAAACTGAAAATTCATGTGCATTTACAAGTAGAGAATTAATGTTGGTTGAAAATTCCTGAATACAAGAACAGAAAGAATTAAATTTCATTATTCTATCAAGAAACAAATGGAAAAATATACAATTTTTATGGAAAATTTTTGTTCATAAATTATCATATTAAGATATCTAGAAATAAATCTATCAAAGATGTGCAAAACCTTGATAAAGAAAAACTTTGCTGACATGTATGATATGATATCAAAACAAAAGGAAGACAACAGAATGTTAATATATTTGAAGAAGAAATATAAAAATATCAGTATCCCACAAATTAACATCAGTTCCTTGTAATTCTACTAAAAATCTTTTTTTAAAAATTTTTCTTAGCTGTAAATGGACACAATGACTTTATTTTTATTTATTTATTTTTATATGGTGCTAAGGATCAAGCCCGGTGCCTCACACATGCTAGTGAGCACTCTGCCACTGAGATACAACCCCAGCCCTCTACTAAAAATCTTGATAGAATTTTTACAAACCATGAAAAGCCTTTTTAAAATTATTATTATTGTCAAAAGAGGAAAGTAAAAAGAATAGATTATACACTTCCCAAAAGGGGGGTATTGAAAAATATTGAATTTCATTTTGCTTTGATTTCACTTCAAGAAATCTTTATGAAATTAAGAAAAGGTTGGATTTGTGCTTTGTGGCACCAAAGAAGAAAAAATAGGCCCTAATCTCTATCACATGGGGCTAGGCCTCAACTTCCTTAATAAGATGCCTATAGCACAAGAACTAAAACCAAGAATCAACAAATGGGATGGATTCAAACTAAAAAGTTTTTTTCTCAGCAAAAGAAGTAACATGTGAGGTGAATAGGGAGCCTACATCCTGGGAACAAATTTTTCCCCCTCGCACATCGGATAGAGCTCTAATCTCCAGGGTATATAAAAAGCTCAACAAGATAAGCACCAAAAAACATCAAATAATGCAATCAATAAACGGGCTAAGGACCTGAACAGACACTTCTCAGAAGAGGATATACAGTCAATCAACAAATAAATGAAAAAATGCTCATCATCTCTAGCAATCAGAGAAATGCAAATTAAAACTACTCTAAGATACCATCTCACTCCAGTAAGAATGGCTGCTGCTGTTATGAAGACAAACAACAACAAGTGCTGGCGAGGATGCGGGGAAAAGGTACACTCATACACTGCTGGTGGGACTGCAAATTGGTGCAGCCAATTTGGAAAGCAGTATGGAGATTCCTTGGAAAGCTGGGAATAGAATCACCATTTGACACAGCTATTCCTCTTCTCAGACTGTAGAATCCTTTCTTCTAGATATTTTAGATATATAGTACAGGATCAATACCTATAGTCACCCATCATAAAATAGCATACTACAACTTCTTAATTTTATGAAAATCCAATGTTGTACCCATTGATCAATCTTTTTATTCTGTCCTTTTGGACAAAGCAAAATGATCAGCAATTTTATTTTACTCATTGCTTTTCATTAAAATTGTTTATTGGGCTGGGATTGTGGCTCAGCAGTAGAGCACTTTCCTTGCATGGGCGGGACCCGGGTTCGATCCTCAGCACCACATAGAAATAAAGGTATTGTGTTGTTTCCATCTACACCTAAAAAATAAATATTAAAAAATGTTTATAATCCATAAACACAATGGGCAATATTCACAAAACTTGTAATAGAGGAGAAGACAGCCTAACTAACTTCATTGAGATAAAGTGAATTAACCCATTTTGAGAGAAAAAAATAATAAAAAAGGAAAAACCAAAAAAGTTTTACAGGATGAATGGTACCCTGTTAGGCATACAAATATCTGCATTGTCAGAGTTCCAAGGGAGGAGAGAAAGAGAAAAATGCACAGAAACTGTATTTCACAGAGTGATAATTGAAAACGTTCCGAGCTTTGTGAGTAATATGAACATTCAGTCTGGGAAGCACACAAGAATTCCAAATAGATCCAACCTAGAAAGTCTTCTCCAAAGCACAATATAATTTAAGCTGTCAAAAGTCAAAGACAAAGATTTCAAAAACATCAAGAGAAAATGTCAAGTCATATAATAAGGAATCCCTATTAGATTAGCAGCATATTTCTCCATAGAACCTTGTAGGCCAGAGAATGGGATGATATATTGAGAGAATTTAAAGAAAAAAATCCTTTCAGACAAGAATTATGTACCCAGCAAAAGTATTTTTCAGAAATGAAGAAGAAATAAAGTCTTTCTCAAGCAAGCAAAAACCAAGTGAATTCATCACTAGAATTGCCTCACAAGAAATTATTAAAGGAGTTCTATATCTAGAAGTGAAAGAATATTAACTTCCAACAGAAGGAAGTATAAAATTCACTGTAGATATATAAATGAGAACAGGAAAAAAATAAAAACCTATCATTACAGAAAACCACCAAACCACAAAGATTCACAATAATAAAAAAAATGGATATACAAAACAGTTATTAACAGTACAGAAAATATTTATGTTATATTGTTAACTATCAATGATTATTGAATGTAAATGGGTTTAAACATCGTATTAAAAGAATATAATGGATGCGTCTGATAGAGGAAAAACTTCAATAGATGAATAGATAAAAAAAAATGTGGCATTTATACACAATGGAGCACTAAAAAATGACAAAATCATGGCATTTGCAGGGAAATGGATGGCATTAGAGCAGATTATGCTAAGTGAAGCTAGCCAATCCCTAAAAAACAAATGCCAAATGTCTTCTTTGATATAAGGAGAGCAACTAAGAACAGAGCAGGGAGGAAGAGCATGAGAAGAAGATTAACATTAAACAAGGACGAGAGGTGGGAAGGAAAGGGAGAGAGAAGGGAAATTGTATGGAAATGGAAGGAGACCCTCATTGCTATACAAAATTACATATAAGAGCAAGTGAGTGGAAAGGGAAAAAAAACAAGGGAGAGAAATGAATTACAGTAGATGGGGTAGAGAGAGAAGATGGGAGGGGAGTGGAGGGGAGGGGGGATAGTAGGGGTTAGGAAAGGCAGCAGAATACAACAGACACTAGTATGGCAGTATGTAAAAACATGGATGTGTAACCGATGTGATTCTGCAATCTGTATACGGGGTAAAAATGGGAGTTCATAATCCACTTGAATCAAATGTATGAAATATGATATGTCAAGAGCTATGTAATGTTTTGAACAACTAATAATAAAAATTTTTAAAAAAAGATTAGAATGGAGTCCCAACTATAGTCTGCCTTCAAGAAACTCATCTTTCTGGGAAAGTCACATTTGGTTTCCACACAAATGAAAACCAGAAACAAATAGGAGTAGCCCTACTCATATCAGATAAAACAACCTTTAAGGAAAAGACTATAAAAATATAAATGTTACTATGTAATGAAAATGGATCAACTGAGTAAAAGGTTATATCAACTTAAATGTATATACATACAATACTGTACCACCTAACTCTGTAAACCAAATATTATTAGATATAAAGGGAGTGATGCACTCCAATATAATAATAGTTGGGGACTTCAATAACCCATGCTCACCAGTGGACAGATCATGTAGACAGAAAATCAACAGAAATTCTAGTAAACTATATAGCAAATTGGAATAAAATATAGAAATATTTTTAAAAATTAAAATTGAAATAAGCTATACTATATACCACAGACATTGTAGAACATTTCATCTAACATATACAGAACATGCATTCTTCTTATCAGAGAGAACACTATTTAGGATAGACCCCATGTATTTTGTTATGTCACAAAATACAGCTCAAGAAATTTTATATTAATTTTAAAAATTGAAATTATATATATCTTCTTTAGGTACATGAAATAAAACTGGAAATCAATAATAAAAAATATAGACAATGTCCAAATACATGGGAAGTAAATTACATTGTTCTGAACAATTAATGGACAATAAAGAAATTATAAGGGAAATTAAAAGTTTCTTGAAATCAATGAAAAACAATTCCAAAACCTATAGGATAGAGTAAAAATGGTACTGAGAGAAGTCTATAGCAATAAGTATCAAAAACATAGATTTCAAATAAACAATCTAACATTCCAATAGAATGACCTAGAATAGCAGGAATAAACCAACAAATGTGAACAAAATTGGTAGAAATAGGGCTGGGTCTATAGCTCAATTGGTAGAGTGCTCGCCTAGCACATGTGAGGCACTGGGTGTGATCCTCAGCACTACATAAAAAATAAAAATAAATGAAAAAAGGTACAGTGTTAATCTATAACTAAAAAATATATTTAAAAATTGGTAGAAATAAATAATAAAGATCAGAGCACAAAAAAATGAAAATGAGACTAAAAAAAATCAAAGAAACAAAAAGATTTTGAAAAGAAACTGCCAGAACTTTCAGTATACTGAAATATACTGAAATGAGAGAGAGAAAGAGAGAGAGACATGCAAATAAATAAAATTAGATATCCAAAGGAGACATTGGAACAGATATCATAGAAATACAAATATTATTAGTAACTATTATAAACAACTATGCACCAACTATTTTTTAAAGTTCCAGAAAAAAATGAATAAATTCCTGGACACATATTACAATAAAATTGAGCCATGAGGATACAAAAAATAACAAGTAATGAGATTAAATCAGTTAATAATATTTTCTCAAAACAGACAAGTTCAGGATGAAAAGACTTCACTGCTGAATTTTACCAAACTTTTTATTAAGAACTAATGCCAATCTTCTTAAATTGTTCCAAAAAATTGAAAGAGAAACTATACCATGAGGACAAACTACCCAGATGCCCAGACAATGGATACAACAGAAAACTACAGAAATTCTGAACAAAATAAAAAATTGAGTGCAATAGCACAGAAAAAAGATCATTCAATATGATCAAATGGGATTTATTATAGGAATTCAAGGAGAGTCTGGTGCATATACATCAATAAGTGCATTAACAGAATGAAGGACAAACAAAATGTTCTTCTCAGTAGATGCAGAGAAAGTATTCAATAAAATCTGACATAGAGTTTTTACATATGATACCAAATACATAATCCAGAAAGAAAGAAATTAATAAATTGGACTTGATGAAAATTAAAGCCTGCTTTTTGAAAGACCTTCTTTAGGGAACAAAAAAGCAAGCCATAGACTTCAAAAGGACATTTGAAATTCAGATATCTAACAAAAGATTTGTTTTCAGAATATATGAAGCACTATCATTGCTTAGAAATAAAGAAAAGAACTAGTCAAAATGGACAAAAGAATCAAACAGATATTTCATCAAATGATATACACAGATGGAAAATAACCAGATGAGAATAAAATCAATATCATTAGTTACTAGAAAAAATGTGTATTAAAAACACATTTTTTAATATGCTAAAAGGAAAATGTTATAACCCTATTAAAGTGTCTCAAGGTAATAGAAGATCATACAAAATGCTGAAGAAAAATATGGAGAACAAACAAATTTCTTGAATATTGCTGGTAGAACTGTAAAATAGCACACCACTTTGGAAATTGATAGTTTCTTAAAAAGTCAAACACCTATAACATGATCCAAATATTTTACTCCTTAATATTTGCCCAAGAACCATGGAGGTATTTTACCATAAAATGATGAAATAAAGACCCATTGTAACTAATTAAAATAAATATTTTTTTTAAAAACCCAATTTAATGGGAAAAAAGAACCACTGTGTGAAATAAGCCTAGGAATTTATACATATTGTGTGATTCCATTTCATAAAATCTTAGAAAATCCAAACTAATGAGTAATAACAGAAGGTTGGCCAGCCAAAGTCATGTGTAAAGTAATTATAAATGGGCATAAGGAAACTTTTGGGAGTGATAATTATGTTTGTCAATATGACTACAATGATGGTTTCACAAGCATATGTATCTATCAAAAAATTGCAAATGGTACATTGTAAAATTTGCTTTTTACGATATATGATTTTTACCTTAGTACAATTCTTAAGAAAGAAATTATTTCAGTAAGTATATTTTATGGATCTCATTTATATCTTGATATATGCATTAATTATAAAACAACAGTATTATAATTATATTAAATCTAATTTTTATAGAACAGGTCAGTTGGGAAACCTCACAGCTCCGTGCAATGAAAATTGTCAATGCTCATCTTCATTATATTCTTCTGTCTGTGGAAGAGATGATATTGAATATTTTTCTCCCTGCTTTGCAGGCTGTACTGATTCTAAAATGTTTAAAAACACAAAGGTAATTTTTAAAAAATTTCTTCTTCTCCAGTAACATGTTCAAATTTTAGATAGTCTTTATATTGTACTCCTGACTCTATAAACTTTCTGGTTTCTTGTTTTCCTCATTTTTAAATTTTAAAAAGAAGTAAAAAAAAATCTGTTTTTTATTTCCATAAACTCAAAAGTCTTATGGGAATTGAGTGTGGAAGAGATATTCCTATGCTACACTCTGCCGCTATACATCCTAATTTTGTGCATTTAAAGCAGTGAGTGATTGCTATTTACCTCCATGATAGCAAAGTGGGAAGAAACCACCCAAGAAGAGCATTTTGTCTTCAAATTTCACAGTTTGCCTCAGTGATATGCTACACATTAGTCCCACCTTGTCAGATCAGGCGAGGCGGGCAGCAACCAAAGGAGGCAGATTTAAAAAGGGCGGACTAACTAGGCTTTATTGAGATATCACTCCCTGGCGGAACTCCATCGGACCCACAGAATGGACAGGAGAAGGGTCTGAGGAGAAACCGCATGGAAGCTTGAACAGATTGGACTTTTATGGGGCTTACAGCAGGAAGGGAAGGGCTTGGGACAGAAAAAGGTGTTTTTAGGGTCTCTTGTCCTGCTGGAGTTGGTCAGGGGAGTTGGCTGAACTCCAGGATTGGCCAGCGGGTCCTGATGATTGACAGGCATTAGTCAGGAGGTCTCCTTGATTGACAGGCGTTTTCACTGGCACCTGATTGATGTTCCTTTCCCGCATGGGTTGCTTTGTTCTAAGTCGCCACCAAGTTGCCACCACCAACCGAACACCACCCAGCCCCCAAAACCCTCAAATACAATATTTATTATACCAAGGGGTTAACCAGTGCTTCCTTTTGATGACCTTTTGCTCAGATTTTTTTCTGCCTAGGAATTCAAAATTCCTACTGTATACATTTTTGCTATTTGTCTGATTTTGCATAACACTAACTCACATTTGGAAACTAGTCCTTTAATTGATTACCAGAATTCACCATACACATGAGAAATTTTATAAAACCTCTCAGACATTCCAGAAGTATATTTGAGTTAGAAAAAATTCATATGGCAGAAATGTAAGTGACTTCAAATTTACTAGATGCTTTCCTTCCTGTCCTTTGGCATTTCATGAAGTAAAACCATTTTAAAACTTCCATATTTGCTAATCTTTGCTGTATTAACTTCAAATTTACTATTGTCTGAGCCATCCCCCACCCAGGTCTTACACTCTCATGAAGAGCAGGTGACTACCGCCTATTTGTGGATTAATTTGTTTTTAATCCAAAATTGCATAAAAAGCTTTTTCAGTTTTCACCTTTTAAATGTCACAGAATTGGGAGATTGAGAAAAATGCTGTACTAGAAGAATCCATATAATAGCTACCTTCCAAGATTGAAACAAAATAACTTTCATAGCTATATGATAAGTGAGGTAGGAAGAGCCAGTAATGATGAAAAGACCAGAAATACTGATTTTTAGAAGAGAAAAAGAATTAAGAAAAGGAATAGTTTGCACCAGTGCCAAGTGCATCGTGGCTTGGTGAGGACAAGCCATTCTCCTCCTGCGATCTGTAGATTTCCCAGTAAGTTTCAGAAAAGCAGGTTCTGCTGTCTAGGACAATTGCAAATTTTTTTGAGGTTGTTATGAATGCGATAGTTTTCCTAATTTCAGTTTCAGCAGATTTGTTATTGCAGCATAGGAAAGCAGTCACTTTATTTATGTTGATCTTGTAGCCTGGACTTTGTTAAATTTGTTTATAAGTTCTAGAAGTCTTATAGTGGAGGTTTCTTTCTGAGAGGGGTTGGTGCCTTCTAAATATAGGATCATGTCATCAGCAAACAGAAATCATTTTACTTCTTCTTTTTCTATTGGCATTGCTTCAATTTCCTTCTCTTATCTGATACTCTAGGGCTAGAGTATCAAGGACTATGTAGAGAAGGAGTGGCAAGAGTGGGCATCCTTGTCTTATTCCTGTTTTTAGAGGAAATGCTTTCAGTTTTTCTTGCTAAGTATGATGTCGGCCTTGGGTTTGTCATAAGTCATTTTTACAATGCAGAAATAAGTTCCTTCTCTCCCTAGTTTCTGTAGTGTTTTAAACATGAATGGGTGCTGGACTTTGTCAAGTGCTTTTCTGCATTTATTGAGTTAATTGTGTGATTTTTGTCTTTAACTTTGTTTATGTGGTGTACATTTATAGATTTGTGTATGTTGAACCAACCTTGCATCCCTGGGATTAAACCCACTTATTATGGTATACTATCTTCTTAATGTATTTTTAAATGTGGTTTGTCAATATTTTATGAAGAATTTTTTTATATGATCAGTGATATTGGACAAAAACTCTCTTTCCTTCATGTGTCTTCGTCTCGTTTTGATATCAGGGTGATAATGTTTTCGGACAATGAATTTAGCAGTGTTCTTTTCTATTTCATGGAGTAATTTGAGAAGGATTGACATTGGTTCTTTGTTAAAATTCTGGTAGAACTCAACTGAGAATCCATCTGGTCCTGGGCTTTTTTTTTTGTTTGGAGACTTTTAATAGCTGCTTCAACTTCATTGCTGTTTATGTTTTCTATATTCTCATGATTTAATTAGGTCATATGTCTCTAGGTATCTGTAATTATCCCTGAGTGTCTAGTTTACTGGAGTATAAATTTTCAGATAGATTTTTATGATCCACTGAATTTCAGTAGTGTCTATGGTGATACTATTTTTTGTTAATTTGGGTTTTCTCTCATTTTCTTTTGATTAGTTTGGCTATATGTTTATCAATCTTGCTTATCTTTTTATTTAAGGAACCAATTCTTTGCTGCATTGATCCTTTTGTTAAATTTTCAGATTCATTAATTTTGGCTCTGATTTTAATTATTTCCTGTTTTCCACTGATTTTGGAATTAGTTTTATCTTGTATTCTATAGGGATGGAACCATTGCATATTAGAGATGCAACCATTTTGAATAGTAATGCAATTCACAATAGCCTACTTCATAACTTTCCCATGTTCATAAATTTAAAAAAAGAAAAAGAGGATGAAAAAGAATCTAAGAACTCTTCTCTTTACGTATATTTCTTAGTCTTTTTCTTATCTCGTACAATTTACTACTTCATGTATTAAATTTTATATTGTTAACGTGCCATTATTGTAAAGACATTTAAATAATACAAACATATTTTTCATTAAAAAAAAAAAAACTAACCTGTGGAACCAACCTAGGTGCCCATCAAAGATGAATAGAGGGGCTGGGGGTGTAACTCAGTGGTAGAGTGCTTGCCTAGCACACATAAAGCACTGGGTTCGATCTGCAGCACCACATAAAAACAAATAAATAAAATAAAAGTATAAAAAAGATGAATAGATAAATAAAATGTGGTATATATACATAGTGGAGTTTTACTTAGCCAATAAGAGGAATGAAATTATGGTGTTTTGTGGTAAATGGATGCAGCTGACATCTTGCTAAATGAAATGAGCCAGGCCTAGAAGATTAAGAGTTGAATGTTTTCTCTCATATGCAGAAGTTAAACAAAAATAAGGAGGAAATAAAGGGAAAGAACATCACATGAAAATAGGAAAGAAATCAGTGAAGTAGAGGAAGAGGTTATGAGAGGGAGAGAGGAGGCATAAGGGAAGGGAGGAATGGTAGAATGAGACTGACCAAACTATCCTATGTACATATATGAATTCACAGTGAATTTCACCTTTATGTATATCTACAATGCACTAATGAAAAAGAAAAACTAGAAATAAATAGAAGAAAGACCCGTAGAAGAACAGGAAAGGGAACGGGGGGGGGGGGGGGGGGGGGGGGGGGGGGGGGGGAAGGATGGTTGGGAAAGAGGAAGTATGAGAGACTGTGTTGGAGCCAATTATATTCTCTTTTAACTATTTCAAATGAACCCAATATTGTGCACTAACATATTTTTTAAAAAGAACATGCTTAAGAATAAGACTAACCAGAAACATGAAAGCCTTCATCAATGAAAATTACAGAAAACTGAGGAAACAAACACAAAAAATTTGAAAACACCTTCAATGTTTATGACTATGAAGAATTAATTTTGTCAAAACAGACATACAAACAAAAATATCTACAGATTCCAGGTAATCCCATCAAAATTCCAATGATAATCTTCCCCAAACTAAGAAAAAAAAATCCTAATTCATATGGAAGAACAAAAGATCCAACATTGCCAAAGCAATTATGAGGAAAAACAATAAAGCTAGAGGCATTACAATATTGATTTCAAGTTTTAAATTGATAATTATAGTAATAAAAACAGCTTGATACTGGCATCAAAATAGATACACCCAGCAATGGAGGAGAATGGGGGACGTAGAAACAAACCTACACAGCTACATTTATCTGATTCTTGACAAAGGTGCCCAAAACATTAAAGAAAAGACAGTCTTTTAGATGGTGCTGGGGAAACTGGATATCCACATGCAAACAATTGAAACTTAATCCATATCTCTCAAACTGCACAAAAGTCAACTGAAAATGGTTAAATAGCTAGGAATAAAACCAGAACATGAGCAACTTCTAGAACAGAATACAGGGGAAAGTTCCAACCTATAGGAGTAAATAATGACTTTCTCCCTGGGACTCCTAAAACTCAGGAAATAATACAAAGACTCAACAAATAGGATGGTGTCAAACTAAAAAAAACCTTCTGCACAGCAAAGGAAACAATTAACAGCATGAAAAGAGAACCCACAGAATGGGAGAAAATCTTTGCAAGCTACTACTTTTCTGATGCAGGATATCTAGACTATATAAAGAACTAAAAATACTCAACACCAGAAAGAAAATAACCCATTCCATTAATGGGCAATTGAACTAAACAGATCCTTCTCAAAACAAAAAGTACAAATGGCCTTCTATATATGAAAACCTATTCAAAAATTTAACCATCAGGGAAATGAAAGTTAAAACTACGTTGAGATTCCATCTCACTCCAGTCAGAAGGGTGATCAATAAAAATACAAGTAACAATAATTGCTGT